ATACCAAACACAAAAATGTTTCATTTCAAAATGAATTCCTCAAAATTTATGGAATTCATTTTATACCAAACGGTATGTTAGTATTTCTTTGCAAATGTGTGCTTGTGTTTTGGGGGAGGGGAGACTTTTTTGGTCTAAGAAAATTTGAGGAAGGGTTGAAACTCATATATCATTTGTTTGAATATTGCATATTGAATTTGAGTATTGAATATTTGAAAACAATATATAATTCTTAAATTAGTATTAATTTTCAGCCCAGTTGACCAATAGTCTTAGACCTTTTGCTAATATCATATAGATCCAATAATCATAAGATGAGATTTAGTTTGATATGCATATTCAAAACCATTTTTTATGAGTAATGAATTTGTATGACAAATACATGTAAATAAGTGAAGATGAACCTGATTATGCATTTTGATTCTTTAGATAAATAAAATGGTTTAAGCGATGAACTAACTATGCACTCACTCGATTGGTTTAACGAGTTCTATTTTATCACTTTTAGTAATTAGTTTATTCACAAGCTATCAAACTACTTTGCTCCGCCAAGGAATAAGCGACCATCTGTTCGCCAAGTTTCAGGTGCTTTGATTCACACTATCGACTATGAATGGAGAAGAAGCATTTCAGACTCAAAATTGGAGAAGTAATTGGGATGTTTATAGGTTTCTATCGATTGTAGGTGGTTAGAAGAAGAGGAAGGGGAAGGGGGAGAGTGGTGAGATACAAAGCTTAGAGAGCGTGTTGGACGAACAAACGGAAAAACAAAGAGGAAGGCTAAGAGAGAGTGAGAGGCCACACATAAAAGAGGGGGAGAAATGAGATAGTGTGAAATAATTGTCTTTCTGCTTTGTTTAGTGGGTATTCTTGGCCCTCTTTCGTTGAGTTTTGTTTTATGTTAGGAGAGACATTATACTTTTGTCAGATTTTTTCCATTTCCATTTCAATTTAAAATCCTAAATCAATATTATCATTTGGATGATTTTTTTCTTAATACAATTATGATAATTTCTTAGATTTAATGGGTATTTGATAATGTTAATATTTTAGTGGTTTTTTATATAAAGTTTTGAAAAATATTTTGGATATATCAACTAAATCCATACGGGAGGAGTTACGGTGCTAATTGTACAAGAGTTAGCACCGTCCTAATCAAGGGGAAAACTACTACTAGTTTGAATTAGTAGTGATTTAGCTTAGATGTTGTATTGATTTTATAATAATCCATAGTGATTTCGTTGTTTTTAGTAGCGTTTTTTGCTAGTTATCACGGTGCTAACCCCTATAAGGGTTAGCACCTAATCCCATCCCAATCCATACACTTATTTAATTTTTATATGATATTCATCTCAAATTAAAAAAATGTGAAATCAAAAGATAACCCTCTTTAATTTTCTATCATACAAACAATGTAACATTTTGTATGTACTACTATAAATAGGTGCATTAATACACTCATACAATTATATAGTAAAAAAACAATTTCTTATGTGTATTGCATTAGTTGTTGATGATTTTGAAGTGAAAATACTAATTTACTAAGTAAAAAAATATTATCACAATTATATATTTATGTGACATATTCCTACACCATTAAATTACTAAAATATATATTCATAGTTCGGTCATGTGCCCCTATGATAGAAGATAATTCCATTTGTGTAAGAATATCCTTGATGATGGTCATCAATTTTTTTAACCAAGTTACTTTCATCTGGGTGAAGCGTCATTAGTATAAGAAAGTCACAGGAAAACCGAGCTATATACGTATCAACAAAATAAATTTGACATTCCTCACTTATTAAAGACGATACAATTATTTTTCTATAATGCAACTCATTTTCTCATTTTATTTTTATGACATCAGTCATTTCCCCTAACTTCCATGTAAACTTCTTAAAAACAATGTCATTACTTTTTTGTTTAATGCAATTCTATTTTATTTTATTTTTCTATATTTGGACATAATTTCTTTCTTTGTATTGTACGCATGAAGATAGAAAACCTTGAGCCAGGTTTATCTGCATAACCTAAAAATTGCTTTAACTTAAGATCAAGTTTCAAAATTGGACAATTCTCATGGTTGAAATTCAGTTAATTTTTAAATAACCTACCATTATCAATTGGATTGTATCTTCTTTAATTTAAATAGGATTTGAACAATTTTGTACAGAAAAATGAGTTAACTGTGATTTACAAAACATCCATTTATATATTTTATGTTAAAATTTTCCAATCATGTATACCACCATGATATATGACACATTCATGTATATCTTTTGTTCCAAAATATACAACGGTAAATGTCACTTTGTAGAGTATATTTATTTGCTTTTTAATGTAAAATAATATGAAATCCGTGTTCAAACGAATAAGGTATAGTGTGTTAAAATTAACATGGGAGTGGTTATGCATTTGTGTTTAATTTTAGGGTTATGCAGACATAGAGTGTTCCGGACAAGTTTCACAACAATTACCATTGTATTTCAAAAAAGATTGAATTGAGATTTAATTACCTTTTTCATATTTTGACCTTGCTCAAGTCAACACTGTTCGCAAAATTCCCTTTTCTTTTCCACTTTTTTTCCCCCACACAACCTTAGCTCTCTATTTGCATACATTTGTATGCCGGCTCCCCCTTAAACCTCTCATTCGTGAATAAGTTAAAATTACATCAGCCTCCGCATTTTGCTTATGCTTCGTTATTAATTAGTGAATGATAGACCAACCTAGATCACCACCTCTCTACAGACATCTTAATTTTGACTTCACTCAAGCCGCCTTCTTTCCTAAATTCCTTCTCATGCCTGTCTAAGGTTGGTTTCCACAATCTCTCATCTCCAATGAATTATAAATAGTAAACTTTTATTTTCCAATAGATATACATTAATTAGTCTTTGCTAGCCGTCAACTTATATGATGTAACCTGTTCATTAGAATGAGAATGAAGGAACACAATTACATAAGATAAAAGCTTGATTCTTTGTAGTTCTATTGATGATGGACAATAAACTATCAAAAAGAACACTACAGCTGTCACCACTGTTATTTGCATTGAATCTTTGATTATTGAATTAATATTGTATGATAATAAAAAGTGTAGGAGTGTCTCCATAGCCAACATTTTTTATAATTATTAAAATGTTAAAGGTCATACACAATTATAGATGTATATATTGGTAGTATAGGACTACAACTGTAGCTTAATTACATGATCATGATATGCAATTGTCTCTCATTTTAATTGATCTAAACCATGTTTATTTCTTAGGTGCTTATCCATCAATATGTTTATTTTCACTCTCAGGCCTCATTCAAGTACATGTTAGAGTTGTGCCTGTGTCATGTAAAAAAGTACATCCTGAAATAAAAAGCTTCATTTTGTTGTCTTCCATATTCAAATGAATTTAACACCTAACCTCTAACCGTGTTATTTTGTTTACTTTATTGGTTGACATCCGATTCAATTTTAAAATTGTTGAGTATAATTTCTAAATAAATTTTATAAGAAAAAGGTCGCAAATAAATATTGCATTCTAATTTTTGTTAGTAACATAAATCATTAACAACTAAATTTTTTTTGTTTCAATAAACATTTACAGATGTTTGAATAAAATCATATATAAATAAAAGACAAATTTACTTATCGGCCAAATCCAAACTTTTATTTAACTTTTCATGTCACAATCATTTCAAACGAAAAAAATGAAGAAATATGCCAATAACTTTTTTTCATATACTAAAACACCAATGATACAACATGTTTTTGTACTACTATAGTTTGAAATTTTGAATAATGATCGTGAGTCATACGTGTTTTCATTTAGGAAATAAATTTATCATTGATTGAGAAATCTATTACCACCAGAAGATTCAACTACTATGTTTGTTAATTTGCACATTTATCAAACATAGAATTGAGTTGAAAAAAACTCCATTCAATAATTACATATGATAAATGGTAAGTTTCAAGTGTAAATATTGATCTATAATGGTATCGTAGAGTTTAGTTCTATTAGTCACACTAAGCCTCGCTATTATAAAACAATAAAATTTGAATAACATATAATTTTAGTAAATATATACAAAGAAAAGTAATAACCTATCGCTATTAAAAAATATTAAACATGCCGCCCATCGGGCGGGCACAAAACTAGTAAATTATATTTTCCCCCCTCTTTTCATGGAGGTCTAAACTCATTATGCATAGTTGGATCACTTTCAAAAATGTTATGCGCATAACTAAGGTAGAAAACAATCATTTCATGCATTTCAAATCATCTATTATATCCATTATTATATATCATATTTCTCGATAAAATTCTTCCGGCCAACGGGCCGAACCAGATAGTAGATATTTATAGCAAAAAGAAGATGAGTTATAGTTCTTAATAATTTTCATAAAAAATTATGAAGAATTAATGTAGTCCAATTGGTGCTAATGCTATAAGAAAAAGTCCAATGTGAGGTTCTCAATTCTCATTGTGTATCTCCATCGTTCCCAGAGAGTGCAATTGCACTTTGACGTGGCAGAGCTTTGCAATTGCATTTTCCCATTGCACCAATGTGAGTTGCTATTGCAAAAATGGAAACTTTCATTTGTTGCAAGTCCTCATTGCAAGCCACGGTGGAAAGTTTTATCATTTTTTGTTTTTTCTGTTATGATTTCAATGCCAACGTTTGGCTTTTATTGTCATAGATTTAATTTTTACCATAGATAAAAAATTGTTTTTTTATAATAAAAAATTACGCACCATATGCAATTGCATGTTAATTGCACCAATGTAGGTACAATGAAAGTAAATTGAGTTGGTTTGCAAAAATGATGTGTAAAAAAAAAAACCACAAATACAATTACAAATGCAATTGCACCAATGAAGATGGTATCACCGAATAAATTGTATTGCGTTGCGTCCCACTTTCATGGGCCTATTCTGAATAGTGGTCCAGATAGTTGTATTTAAGTCTTTTAGAAGCCCAGGGATGCTCATAATTTCTGAAAATTCGTCCAGTCAAAGTTACAAGAAAAAGCAGGCCCAGTCCAAACCGCTTCCTACTGCCTGGAAGCGCGGATGCCACAATCAAACAAACCCTCCACGGCGCCAGCGACGGCGGAGGAAGGAAGAAAGAGCAGAGAAATAAAAACAAGCATCGGAGACGGAATTAGCTGCCCTTCGAAATACTAGAGTAAAAATGGCGTCTCCAGCCGCTGTAAGAGAGTTGCAGCGCGATCTCGAAAACAAAGCGAACGATCTCAGTAAAATCCAGAAAGGCAAGCTTTTGGACCGCTTACCAATCACATTTCGTGCTTATGGCCAAGGGAACAATTTATGTTGTTGAGTTGACTTGGAAAACCCTAATTCCGTAGCTTTTCACTTGCGGCAGATATCGCGAAGAATCACCAAGTGAGGAAGAAGTACACTATCCAGCTCGGCGAGAATGAGCTAGTGCTTAAGGTCTGATTTCTCTTTCTCTCCTTCTCTTAGCTTGTTTCAGGCTTTCATCTGGTTCGTTTGAATTGGAGTTCGTTAAATATTGATGCTTGTGTGGAGTGCAGGAGCTGGAATTGTTGAAGGAGGACGCAAATGTTTACAAGTTGATCGGTCCGGTGCTGGTGAAGCAGGATTTGGCGGAGGCGAATGCCAATGTCCGCAAGAGGATTGAGTATATCTCTGCTGAATTGTAAGTTATTTTTTTGTGTAGATTCTCCTCTATAGCTGCTATAAGTTCTGCTGAACCCGTCCAGATTATAGGTATAGCTGCTATATGTTTGAATCTGCATTCTACTGGGTTTGAAGGTAGGGTCGATATGAGATGGCAGTTGGTAATGAGAATCTGCTTTTGTTACTTATTTCCCTTTGGACGTGAAATGTTGTTCTAGTTGTATGTTCATGTTTGCTGGCTCTGAATATCAGGAAGCGGCTTGATGCAACTGTTCAGGATCTGGAGGAAAAGCAGAACAGCAAAAGAGAGGCGGTATGTGTTGCCCTCCTCCCGTCTCGATTTATTTATTCGTACTCTGGTTTTCATCCGCGATGGGCAGACTCCTTTTATCAACATATATGCGTTTCTGTTTTGCATTTGTTGCCCATTGGTTTAAGCTGTGTGTTTTTGTTGTTCAACTTTGTGTCTTTTTAGGCTCCTATCTTTCATTTTGTCACCCCTTCCCTTATTACCTTGCAATTTGAAGTATAGAAATCGTATCCAACCACTACTTCATAGCCATTTTCGTCCACTTGCCTCAACCATCACTTGTCCTTGTTTAGGGCATTATCGACCTAAGCATTGTTTTATACTTAAGACTGGAATATTTTTTGTGGATGGACATAGTGTATATTGGTGTTCTTAATAAGCTAGACCCATGCTTCGGGTTGTTTCATGCCATAAATAACATGTAGGATGTAATTTCTGGCCTGATGATGTGTTGAAGCTAGCAGTGTGACGGTAGCAGCGCTTGTTGAGTAGGTGTTTAAGGCCAGTGGATCTCGTCACGCCAAAGCAGATATACTCTTTTTGTTCTGAGAACCTATTCTGCAAACTCCAGAAAAGAGACAAACTTTTCCTTCACTTGAGACTCGAGAACATATCAAGTCTGATTGCCCCTATGCATAGAAATAACTTTTTTCAGTATGAGCTGAATAATAGTGCTTGAACAATAATACTTTCTAACTAACAGAACGCGCTGATGCAAGCCTATCTTCTATTAATTATTGCTGAAAGAATGAACACCGGGATAGAAGTCATAAGCTTAGAGAGTAGATATGGGATTTTGGTGCAGGCTATGGCTCCTCCAACTGTATATTCCCTCTCATGTCTAAGACTACTTTGTTGCCCGTTAAACATCCATAATACTAGGCCACGGCTGTTACTCTACAAGATGTTAATGAGATGGAATAATGGCACTGGAGTTTCTGAGACCCGTAAGAAACTGCTCCACTAAATTGCTGATGCATCTTGAAAGATGTTGTTTGTGTCACTTGTGTCTTGTTTGAGCCAAGTTTGGACATGAATACTGTCGGGAACGGCTGAGCTCTTAGTTGATCCAAGTTCAACAGCCATTTGGCGCTTCACTGAGGTTTCATTAGTATGTAAAGAGATTTTTAACATGAGTAACATTAGTATCTCTCGGTTTAACCTTCCATTCTCTACATCTAACCCTTGCACTGGTGCCATTTGCTTGTAGGTCTTGAAAGTACAACAAAGAATGCAAGCTCTTCAGGCCGGAAAAGCAAAAGCGTGATCCACGCACATGTTTGTTTCCCTGGGGGCTTGTCAGCTGTACCATTTGCTTACTGCAGCGGATCTGGTGTAGATACGTTATTGTTACTCATTGAAAGCTGCATCATTTTTCCCGATCCCTTTGAATGTTGCAAGTTGTGACTGGCATCATTACTGAAGAGTGTGTTTCCGTAGTTATCCCACATGACCCGTCTTCTTCTTCTGGTTGGTGATTGAATTTGTGTATCCACGCTGCGGTCCCAGCATGTATGGAGTAAAAGAGACATTTGGGAGGTGATCTGTCTTGTCTGTGACGAGGAAACCTCTCCCCAGAAACGTGCTCACGAGGTTGCAGCACTAACGCTCTAGTTGCTTACTTTTAGCGATGCTGCGTTTAAGGTACACACTGTGAAAGCGAGAGGGACTATTATTAAGCTGGAGACCGAGAAGGGAATATTCCAAACATCATTGCGAAACGTGCGGCAAAAAAGGCGGTGAAATCTGGGGATTGTTGTCTGATGGATCATAGTTGGCGTGGATGAAAGCATTGCGTCTTGGACTCGCTTGGGTTAGTGAAGACAGTTGCATCGATTTGATTCATGTCGCCATGTGACCTCTGTGTTTTTGTCCTACTAGGTCTCACGAACCGCAAATGCACTTGTCGTAGAACACGGTACCAAAACCCGAAAATTAAGACGCACGAGTTTGAACCTTCACTTTCGTGAGATCGCACTAGATTGACTACATGCTCTGCCAGTGAATATCATATTGTCTACTGAAAGCACTAGAGCAGTAGGAGGAAACCATTATACTCTGTTCACCAACAATTCAGCTGGCACCAAGTTGTTTGCTCTTGCAAAATTTGCTGGGGATGATGGGATGTGATGGCACTAAGTTTCGAAGTTTTGAGTTGCAGCTCTTTCTGCCGCGGTAGGTATATTAGTGTACCATTGCACTTACTCTCTCTTGTTCTACTTGACGTTTACGTAGTAGAGCATTAGCATGCTAACCTAACTTTCATTCCACTCGAATGAGTCAAGTATTATGTTTGGGAACTCTCAAGTGACTTCCTTTAAATTTGTGGTTTGGTATCGGGTCTTGTGTTCGATGAGTTTGGTGTTAGTAAATGGATAATACCGTTATAAAAAAAAATGGCATAATAAGATTTTATGAATGAATCATCGTTCCCCGCAATTCTAGTTATTGAAACTGGATGATTACGACATGATACCAGTGTCTTTGATGACCGATAGGTCTTGTGTTCAAATCTCAACGATCCACACATTTGTTAAGCACACAATATTCGAACCTGTACAAATTTCAAACCAACGAATTGACTTTGGTTTGGGACATCACTCCACTCAACATCCGAACTCTAATTAACATCAGACTATGAGGGTTCAAATCGCTCTAGTTGTTTTCGCCCACCTTGATTCAGGGCCTTGGCCGCTGATATGTCTATATCAAATCACCTCTCTTTTGGCTAAGAAAACATGGTTGGGCTTGATCGACCTTCATCATCGTGCATTAGGCTTCTCGGCCAATATCTGGATCTCTATGGAGAGAGAGAGAGAGAGAGAGAGAGAGAGAGAGAGAGAGAGAGAGAGAGAGAGAGAGAGAGAGAGAGAGAGAGAGAGAGAGAGAGAGAGAGAGAGAGAGAGAGAGAGAGAGAGAGAGAATTGCCACTTAGAGATGCCGCTAATTTTCTCGGCCGATAATCAGGCAGATGCAGTCGTACCACAAGACAGGGGCATAACCCGAACTTGAGGCCTACTTCCCTTTCCCTCAACTGGTGGCTGCAAAAGCTCGCGACAATCTAACATGCACATGCCTTTTTGCGTTGTTTGGTATGTGCTTTGCATTGCATGCGCGGCAGCTAATTAGTCGGCATTTTAATTACATTACGCGGATGTATTAGTAGTACGCTATATGCTCTGGCCTGCCGTGCTGGCAGTAGCAGAGCTGACGATATTGTGGAACTTGGAGATACGGAAGGGCCAACCAACCAACTAAACATCTCATTCTGCCCAAAAAGACACATAGTGGAACTGCTAGGACAAACTGCTTTGTACAATTATTCACTCACCAAATCCAAATGGGCCAAAGGGGATTTTTTTTCCCCCATAAAGGTATTGGACTGTGTATCTTGTTAGCCCATGCCATTTAAAGTTTATATATATGTTCTTGTTTTTGGTGCACTCACTTTTTTTTATGCATTCAATACACTTGTTTCATAATTGTCATTCTGAGCATGCGATTCGTGTCAAAACAGTATCAATCATCACTTGTGATATGATGAACAATAAACACATGAATTTGCAAAAAAACGCATTCAACATTTACTTCAATTTGAAGGATTAAGGGTTTAGGGATTTAGGGTTTATAATTTGGGATTTTGTGTTTATGTTCAAAATTGAAGGTTTAGGGTTAGGGCAATGGACTGATTAGTCGTGTAACTACTTCGGTGCACTCACAAAAATGAGTGCGTTCAATGCACCCAACTCAAAAACTAGTCTTAAGGTGTCAGGTTTTGAATTTTAATTTGTAGAATTAGTGTAATATGATGATATAACATATGATAACAACTAATTAGCGGATTATCCTAAGCCCTAGACCTCCAATTTTGAGGTCTATCCCTAAACCCCAAACTGTAAACCCTAACCCTAAATCTTTAAATTCTAAATCTTTCAAATTAAAGCAAAATTTTAATGGTTTTGTGCAAATTCATGTGCATTATTGTTCATCACATCATAAGTGATGATTGACATCATTTTGACATAAATCGCATGTTTAAAATGACGGTTATGAAGCGAGTGCACTAAATGCATCCAAAAAAGTGAGTGCACTGTATATATGGTGGCGTCTTCGGTGCACTCACTTTTTTGGGTGCATTCAGTGCACTCGCTTCATAACCGTCATTTTAAACATGCGATTTATGTCAAAATGATGTCAATCATAACTTATGATGTGATGAACAATAACGCACATGAATTTGCACAAAAATCATAGAAGATTTACTTTAATTTGAAGGATTTAGAGTTTAGAGATTTAGGGTTAGGGACTTAGGGTTAGGGTTTACGATTTGGAGTTTAGGGATAGAACTCAAAATTTGAGATCCAAAACTTGAATTGACTGATCTTTCAGACATGATACTATACTCTAACCCTTAAAGATCAACGTCTAGGTCTTAATTCTCTAAATCTTATACCCCAAGATCAATTTAATAAAAAACAATAATCGACGGTTATGATTCGTCCAAATATAGGCAAAAAAATCATTACACCATCTTAGAGTTTATAGTTTATGATTTAGATAATTAGGACCTAGGGTTCACTCATTAAGGGTTAGGGACTTAGGGTACAGTACCATGCCCAAAAATCCTGCTAATTCGAGGTCTAGATAGCGTTTTCATACTCAAGGTATGCGGTACCCCGGATTTCACCCAGTGTACCGTAGAAGGCACCATATATATATGGTAATGACTAGTGTACTCGAGGAGTCTAGGAGTATACTATACTCCATGTGATATGACCGTTAGATCTCTTTTTCTGAGCTCCGACCAATCTCAACGGTCAATTAATATTTTGTATTAAATTGAACTTCGAGTTTGAGTTAGAGAATTGGGGCCTGAGATTTATCTATTACAGGTTAGGGTATAGTATCATACCCCAAAGTCGTTTTAATTCATAGTCTAGATAGAGATATCTCACTATGAGTACCTGGTGTATAGTATACTTTAGGTGTACACCAGTCCGACCTATATATATATGGTTTATATATATATAAATTTATTGTATGTATAAGGTGATAGGAGGCTCAATAAGAAATAACGATATTAGATTGTTATTGAAAGTTTTTCCAACACCGTAGTCGATCGGTCGGTTTTTAAGAAGTTTGCAGAGGCAACATTAGGGGATTTTTCCAGAAATAGCACCTTTAAAAAAAATTACAAAAATAGCACCCATTTCGTAGAAATTACAAAAATAGCACCCTTTTTTAAAAACCGCACCCCCAGGTGCGTTTTGCATGTAAACCGCACCCCTGGTGCGTTTTGTCATTAAACCGCACCTTGGGGGTGCGTTTTAGTTTTCTGAGCCAAAACCACATCTTGGCCATGCAGTTTGCGGTCTGACCTAACCAAACCGCTTGGTCCAGATGCGGTCTAGGCCTAACCTAGCAAAACCGCACTTTGGGGGTGCGGTTTTGCTTCTCCAAAACAAACCGCACCCTCAAGGTGCGGTTTTGGCAACACAAACCGCACCCCCCTAATGCGGTTTGTGTGTCAATTATTTTCCGACACCAGATATGCAGCCATGCAGATTCACAGACGTGGGGCTGCATGGCAGATGAAAAACGCACCTCTAAGGTGCGGTTTTCATTGATGATTTTGCCTATAAAAGGCAGCCCGGGAAATCTTCTTCTCTTCACACCTCTCCTTCTCCCTTTTCAATTTTCGATTGTAGCTCCCTATTTCTCTAGTGTTTTTGCGGTTAACGTTAACTCGTAAGTTTATTTTGTATTACTTTTTATTGTGAATTGTGATTTTTATGATATTAGTTGAACTACTATTTTTTTGCATATGGCATTCCAAAAGTTCACGCTTGGTTTACGGTGGAATGGTTACACGAAAGAGAGCGGAAAGGGGGTCACCTACGTCGGTGGCAATTTTCAGAAAATAAAGGTCGCTACCAGACTGATGCTTGAAGACCTCTATCAAATGTGTACTAACGTTACTTGCATGGATGGCACGAGAAGAGTTGATCGTATGGTGTACCGATATCCAAACAGAGAAGGCGGGTCGTTGTGGCACGAGGAATATCTCATAACCACTCAGGATGAGGTAGATGCCATGCTCGAATTCTTGAGGTCCAACAATCTTTCCAGAGCCGAGATGTTCGTTTACACCGAGCTGGTCGTAGGCATTGGAGGTCATTCTGGAGACGGTCAAACATGTGGTATCCATGGTGGAGGTGAATTATATGGAGATCATCCCTACCAAAGTTACCATGATCCTCATTCCTATTTTCAGTACCAAGAGCAAGGTGAAGGTCATCATCAATCTTACCCGTCATATGAAGAAGAAGTTCAACCGGACCATGCCAACCAACCCCAGTACAACTTCCAATAAGGTAGTGGTAGTTTTCACAACTACCATTATGGAGCTGATGAAGGTGCCTTTCATGAGCTGGATCAGAGGGAAGATGCCCTGCCAGCACCAGTCAGTGACCCCCTCCGATGAAGAAGGAGAGAACAACGTCAATGCAGACAGCTCCAACCCTCTTGAAGGTGCTGATGATTAAGGACCAGAGTCAGACTCAGATAATGATGATGAGGTGGCTCATGACCGTGTACCAGTCCCCTACTACTATCACATTCCAGATGACAATTGGATGGTCGACATCGACATGGAACCGCCGGAGGTTCCAATATGGGGTCCACTCACTGGGTTTATGAAGGACCAAAAATTTGGCTCGAAGAAGGAGGTGCGGCACGCCATTGATATTGAAGCAATGACTCGGCATTTTGAATGGCACACAACTCATTCCAACACGAAAAGGCTCATAGTCAGATGCCGTAATCATAACGAGGGATGCAATGTTAGGATTCGGGCCATCAACATCAAGAGACACGACCATTGGGTCATATCCCGTGCGGTGAACACACACACATGTGT